CTAATCAATAGTGATCAACACCTAGACCGAAGTTTCTGTCTCTTTCGTTCGTTTGCCTCCGATTTGGGTAGGTGAGCCGACCCGACCCTACCCAAATCAGAGGCTAACAAACGAAAGAGACCGAAACTTTGGTCTAATCAACAGCCAACACCATGACATGACATCAGCCAGTATCAGTATCAGATCAGCAGCTCAGTGCCATTCATTCATTCCTGCATACATTTGCAAATTTGTTGTGAATTTTTCTTCTTCTTCTTTGTTACCCCTGAATTTTGAAACACAAAAAACAGCGCGTGGGACTGAGCAAATAAATACGGCCGAAAAAAAGGTTATATTTAGCGTCAGAATGTCAGATCATACTAATCTATAATAATAAATTTACATGTCTCTCATGAAATTTTGTCTCCTGCTTTATCACAGTGCTAAGATTATACAATAATATCCTATTACTCTACACAAAATACAACAACATACCGCCGTCGGATCCAGGCGTCGGATGTCCAGAAAGTCGGTGACATGAGACCGGAAGTGGTGCACGGCCGTACCTTTTTTTACTTTTATAACATTGGATAGAAGTCTAGACATAAACAAATTTCAAAATTATACTTTTTATAGTGTCACATATATTATTGAGTGTAAGAGTAAAGCTGACAGGATTGGCAAAAATTAACGCACTACTGGTCTAGTTCTGCATGTCTCTTCTGGCAGATGCGGGAGCTGGGGGGGGGGGGGTAGGGGGCATTTTTCAAGTACCCTATAAGTGCCCCTTTTAACATAGGAAAAGTGCCCCTTTAACTTTGTAAGAAGTGCCCCTTTATACATAAGAAAAGTGCCCCTTTTACTTTGACAAGTGCCCCTATTATTTGTTTAAAGTGCTCCTTCCTCTTTCCACCTCTGATAAGTCCTCCTTTTATTTTGACACGTACTCCTGGCTTTTTCCTTTGAAGAGCTCCCATTTTCCAGTGCAATAAGTGTCCATTTTCCATTCTCATAAATAAGTGCTTTTTAAAAATCTCTATTAAGTTACCTTTTTCAGGTACGAGAAGCACCCCTTTTCACTTTTGACAAGCGCCCACTTCATCTCCGATAATTGCCCTATTCAAATCTGAGAGGTTCCCTTTTTGCTTTGACAAGTTCCCCTTTCCCTTTGTAAAAAGTGCCCCTTCCCCTTTTAATGACTACTCCTTTCTCGGATAAGCGCACCTTATATTTTCACATGTGCCCCCTATCCTTTTTAATAAGTGCCCCCATTTAAAAAAGAGCTCCTGTCCCTTCTCATAAATGCCCCTTTTCATCTATGAAAATAGTTCCTTTTCATCCTCATAAGTGCCCCTTTTCATTTCTTGTAAATGACCCTATTCAATTCTGAGAGATACTCGTTTAATTTTGACAAGTGCTCTTTCCCCTCAGATAAGTGCTCTTTTCATCTCTTATAAATGCCCCCCTTTTTTACACGTCCCCCTTTTCCTTCATTATAAATTCTCTTTTTCCTTCTTATTGGTGCCCCTTCTCCTTCTCATAATTACCCCTTTTCATCTTTGATAAATGCCCCGTTTATTTTAACATGTGCCTCTTTTTCTTTTTAATAAGAGCCACTTCCCCCTTCTCATAAAAAACCTTTCACCTCCGATAAATGCCCCTATTGAAATTATATAGGTGTCCATTTTCTTTCAACAAATGCACATTTCCCTTTATCATTAGTGCTCCTTTTTCATTCTCATAAGTGCCTGTTTTCATGTATGGTCAGTGCCCCTTTTCACCTCTGATAATTACCCTTTTAACAATGATACATGCCCATTTTTTCCTTTCTAATAAGGCCCGGAACCTATCCCTTTTTCATAAATGTCCCTTTTCACGTTTTATAAATGCCCCTATCAAAATCTGATGGGTGCCTCTTTTTCGTCGACAAATGCCCATTTCCCATTCTCATAAAATCCCTTTTCATCACTGATGTATGTCTCTATTTTTAGGTGTAAGAAGTGCCCTATTTTCACCTCAGATAATTAGCCTTTGTACTTTAACACGTGCTCCTTTTCTTTTCTAATAAGAGTCTTAACCCTTTCGATAAGTGTCGGATGTTCCTCTCATCATTAATCGTGCCCCTAATTTCAAGCGACTAGGAGCAATTTCCCCCAAAGCTCGCTCGCTACGCTCGCTCGTAGTTATCGATGTTATAATTATTTAACTTATTAAAGGTCTTTCTAGTCTTCCGTTATAAGAATGTGCTTATAACCCCATCAGGAATGGGTTTTTCCTCTTTATAAGATGTAATTTTTCGCACTGCGACCTCACAAATCTTAAAAATTGTCCTCGCTCGCAAATGGATTTTTAAGACCATCACACCCAACTGCAAAGTAAGATGCTTAAGCAATGTATTATATGATGTATAAAGAGAAAAAAAATATTGAAATCATCCCTGATAATATAATCACAATATAATATAGGGGTATATACCAATGTCTAAAAAAATTGTATATTTTCGCTTTGAGATTTCCCTTTGAAGGTGCCCCTTTTTTTGTCTCCAGAAAGTGCCCTTTCGGTTGGTGCCCCCCTTGAAAGTCGCTCCGCTGCCTCTGTCTTCTGGAATATAACACAGGGATGAAATTACTCTTAATACTTTTTACAATTTTTGTCTCTGTCTAAATAAAAAGGAAAAAGAAAAGGACAAAAACAAAAACCCAACATGATAATAAAACAATATATATATTATATACATACGTTTTATGTTTACCCACCCCTCCCCATATGAGATGACCCCGACAATACGACCCTATTCCAAATCCAACCTCGTGGGAGAGAGTGAGCATGGGATATGACAATAAATACTGCTTTTTACAATAGTAAATTTCAGCGAGATTAATAAAATGGTTTAACAAAAAACAAAAAACAAAAACAAATAATAATAAATAAATAAATGATTTACTAATCTCGTATGTTTTCGTATTTCTATCATATAATAGACTTAATAATGCAAAGTCAAAACAAATTAATAGTGTAAGGATAACCAGCAATGAAAATGAAAAATGTAAGAAATTACAATCGAGTTCAAACAGCAAGACCTGAACACTATATATATCTCTATTTATATTTATTTATTATATTTCATTTTATATATTTTAACGGGGTGAGGGAGAAGTTATCTGTACTTTTATGCAGATTTATTATTTTTCAGTAGTTCTATTCGTTTGTCGTACAGTTCGCTTGTATAGCGAAGAAACATGGGGAGAGGGGGAGCCGGGCGGCCCATGGGCTCTATACGTAAACGTCTTAAAGGTTTAGGCACTAGCCTCGGCTTTAGAGTGGGACCATAGACAACATTGAGCCCCCCCCCCCACCAACAATAACAAAATAAAAAGCAAAAACAATCATTATTCGTAGCTAGGGCCCGAATAGATCGTACACTGTCGCTCATATATGGAATACTTTTGTTTTACCCCAATATACGGAATTATTTTAAAAATAATTTAGAAATAATAGATCTAGATAATAGTATACATTCTCAGATTTAATTGAATAATAATTTGACAATGTGTGTTTTCCGTGACTGCTAAAGCATGTGTATGCTACTATGCTTACCAAGTAGGGGACCTACGCCCTTAAGTCATAAATGACAGTAATGAGGATTAATGCCCCACAAAAGAGCACTAATATAGTACATCGACACGGTTTTGATCCTGGGGCCTCACAGTTACGAGGCCATTGCTTTGTCACTGAACCATGACTGTACGCAGCGGGGGCTAGGGTAGGGGGCAGTTTCCATAAATAAAAAAAACCCTCAGAAAATGCAATAAATGTTCAATAATTTATTGCATTTTACCCCGGTTCCCAACATAAAAAAATCCTCTGTGTGCCCATGCCTTGAGCCATAATGCTTGGCCGTCCAGCGGATTTTTTTATGTTGGGGACCGGGGTAAAATGCAATAAATTATTTAAAAATTGATTGCATTTTCTTTTTTTCTTTTTAATTTATGGAAACTGCCCCCTACCCCGCTGCGTACAGTCATGGTTCAGTGACAAAGCAATGGCCTCGTAACTGTGAGGCCCCAGGATCAAAACCGTGTCGATGTGCTATATTAGTGCTCTTTTGTGGGGCATTAATCCTCATTACTGTCATTTATGACTTAAGGGCGTAGGTCCCCTACTTGATAAGCATAGTAGCATACACATGCTTTAGCAGTCACGCAAAACACACATTGTCAAATTATTATTCAACTACATCTGAGAATGCATTCTATTATCTAGATCTATTATTTTTTAAATTATTTTTAAATAATTCCATAAACTGGGGTAAAACTAAAATATTCCAACTATATGAGTGACAGTGTATATACAAAAATACAATTGTATGGACGATTACGTAAAACATCAACACCCTTTACAATAAAGTTATGCCCCTTGTGTAAAGTTCACTTTGAAAAGATGCCGGAAGAAAAATGGGCCAAGCTCCAGCCAGCTTAAAGGGGGAACAAAATCTGGAACCGAGTATAACATTATGTGGAGACATGATAAATGCCTGTGTTTCGTTCAGTATATAGATCTGCTCTAGCTAGGACTATCCCTAAACAGGAATAGCCCTTGACTTTGATAAGATATTAAGCACTGATATACGAATGGTCAATTTGATTCTCCTAATATCCAGGGTTGTAGCCAGAGATTGATGTTGGGGGGAAGGGGGGCACATACATGACTGATTTGCATGTTCCCTCCCTTTGAGAGCACCCTATATCACTGGTGTATAAGTCAATACGGGCCGGACTTTGTTGCGTGAGAAGTACCCCTTTACCGTAGATTTTGGGAACACGAAGGCGGTCCCTCCGACCCCGGATGGGGGGGGGGGGGGGGGGGTCACCCGGGACCTGATCCTAAGCAGTGTACATGATAAACAAAACGTTTGAAAGGTTATACCCAAACCTGACCTTTAGACCTCCGAAACTAGCTAGATAGACTGAGACAAACAAGATGGGTTAAATATTGATAGAGATATCCTCGTCAGGTAGTTTAATAATTATGTGTGTGTAGCTATAGCAATACTATCACGCATAAAATTCTGGAATCTAGCTGCATAATTCAACTGTCCGGGGGAATCCACACCGTCAACACGATCACCTGTAATATGTATTTTTCATGGAACATTACATCTACATTGATCGTCTGGTTAATTTGAATCCCGTTTTATAAGGGAGAAATATTGGGGTTTGTATTGACCGGCTGAGTTCACGACTGGAGCATCAAAATGGCAACCAATCAATGCTCAACCATTGCACCTATGTTCGTCGATCACATAGAAGGTACGTTATTCAGTTTCATCATACTTCAAATGAAACTAAAATAATCTAAAGAAAGCGAAAGAACAAGGAGTATTGTTGTACATTATATAGTTTTGCTTTGTTAAACCCCCGTGTAGCCTCCATATAGATTTTTAAATCATTGAACCGCAAGTGAATCCGGGGGCCCAACAATTAGGCACCCCTCCCCCGGAAAAAAAAGTTAATCGCTATACTTTTCAAAAAGTTCACCCCTTTAAAAAAAAAACTTTACTATCACCATTGTGGTACTATAACACTCACTGTGATAATTACTATAACCATAATGATATGCATCATTCTGAAAGGCAACCACTGATGGATGAAAATGATGTTCGACTTTCATTTGATATTTTCATTAATGTTTTCCTTTTGTCAGTAATATCTGATGACACAGGTCTAATCGTCATGATGTCCATCACATCAGCTATCACAATCCTCCTCATCATTGCATTCATTGAATCTGTTGTCTTCGTAGCAACCAAGATTCCTCATAGAGATCGTTCCATTAGTCTTATATGGATGCTCGCCATGTACCCGGTAAGATGAAAACAATTATGTCGATGAGGGAAAGCTACCGGCTATATAGTGCATTCTAAATAATTATGCCTATTTTGGCCCTCCATCTTCTGGCATGTCAGTTAAACCTGACGAAGAGTTTTAAACTTAGCCTAAAACAATTATCATTTTTAACGAAGAAAACATAAACTACATCGGTCTAATTTTGTCCCGATTTAGGTTAAAATTTTTAGGCTGTCCACGAATACCCTCATGTTTAGGTCGAAAAGTTCAACTGTCAGTCTGTATAATGATTTCAACTTGATTTCAACGATCAGAGTGTAAAAAGACCAACAAAAAACCCAACAGCAACAACTTTCGAAGTAATAGATATGTTCTATTCATTAACGAATTAGAATAAGGATTGACATGATATCAACTAGCTCCTGGGCAGCATATAGGTTACATGCGATATATAGAATCTGATGTGTGGGACTTCGGAAATATTCATCTCAATGTAACGAATTGTATTCCCAGTACAAACACTGTCCTTTAGGAAAACGATCATTCAACTGTATTACAAAACTAGTGAGGAAGGGAAATGGATTGATTATGAGAAGCAAACGCCAGAACATTTTTATACCTCATTCATCGACAACAAAGTATCATTACATCCAATAAAACACTATTGCAATGTGTTCGATGAAAAAACAAGAAGTTTAGAGGACCTTTAGGAAAGAAAGGTGATCTGAAGCGGAAGACAGTGAAAGATATGTTATTATGGCAGTAAAAATTACGTTGTGGGAGGTGAGTGGAAGCTATTCTGAGACACTCTAGAATTGTATAGAACTCATGTCAAGCATAATATTTTGTAATCCATTCATCTCTTCTTAGACAAAAAACATTCGATGTCTACCCCAGGGAGGTGACATATAAGAAATGATAACTCCTTGGTAAACTAATATGTATATATTTCTCTTTGTGGTGTGCTTTATAATAGATTTTTGTGATGACGTCACAGATGGGTCTTTTCATCCCACGGGCCGTCTTGATGTGTAATCTGACTGCATCCATGTAAGATGAGAGCTCAATGTCCTCTGCATATTATTGTGCATCATTATGAGGTGTTATTTTTATATAGGTATAGGGAGTGACTTTTATTACTGACAAAAAATATGATTCTACGAAGAAAGAAAAAAAAGAAGAAGAATATTTTCGCATTCAATCTTATCTTGTTGCATGCATAATATTTCTTTTTATTTAATGATTTCAATTATGTAGCGAACCGGACAACCATCAAAGCTTTGGTTTGAGAGGTTTAATGACAATATATCACTTTTATGAGTAGCGCTGTCATTGCTAGGGCCTATGCTGTTGGGTGATTTTTTTTCTTCAGATTTCATAATTAACTTATAACTAATGTCTTGTAAAAGTAAACCATCTTCTTGTAAGTAATTCCTTACTTGTTTTGTATTCCTTCTTTCTTCGTCCCTGTGCTTATCTCCTCTGTCTCTCTGTTTCTTTCTCTCTCTCTCTCTCTCTCTCTCTCTCTCTCTCTCTCTTTCTCGGGACCCTTTCTCCCACCCTCACCACTCCTTCTCTCTCTCTCTCTCTCTCTCTCTCTCTCTCTCGTCATTTTATCTCTCTACCCTCCCCTCCTCTCTAACTGACTGTCCTACATGCACCACAGCTTCTTTTCGATCAGCCTCTACCAATTCTTACAGTTGATCATCTATTACTATGGCGGCCATGATGCTACGGTGGTCAAGATAAGTGAGATTCAAATACTAGGCAAACTACAACTTACTGAGTAAGTCGTTCAAAATGAAATTCATCTTTAATATTATGGCATGCAGGAAATGTGCACTTTGACACAAACCCCAAAGTAATTCATGCTATATGTATTGTTATGCTTCACACTACTTATATAGAATCTTTATCTAAAAAAGTCGCATATGAATACTGTACATTCAAGGGAAATTTAATTAAAATAATTACACCTTTTAAACCAAACCCAGTTATTATGTCATGAATTCCTTTTCTTTTTTCAAAACAGGGAGAGCTTTTATCGGCTTAAAATTTGCATCTATCAAATGGCCTTACTCCGTCCAGTAGTTCTATTCATTGAAGACATCTTGTGGTTGAATGAATCTTACGACACCAGCTCGGTAATGTTCTATCTTCTACCAATAAATTATAATCTTAATAGAAAAGGAAAGGATTTAGATTATTAAAAAGTGGGAATCGCGTTGAGGAGGGGAGGGGATGGATGGATAAAAATAAGCAAAATCTGGCATACCTTCAGGCTTCAGTACACAAAAGTCATGTAGAATGTGAGTAATTATGTAGTCTGTCATTATGAATAGAAATCATTGGTCTCTGACTTTTTCGTTTCATTCTGAGCCTTCTAGGCTGAATTGACCGATTCCTCTTTATACTTTTTTTAAATGCCAAGTGATAGAAATTACACGAACGAACATGGGCATAGCATCAAGCCAGTATTATCATTTTCACAGAACACGTCATGAATTATTAACTATAAACATTATCTCTAATATCAAATTATTGTTAGCGTGAAATTGTATTTTGTTTTGTCGTATCTACCATGCCCGTAGACAGCTAGGCTCTCCACTTTGTGGTGATCTTTATAGATTTAACAAAAATATATATTATCATGATTTTTATCATAATATTTAGTTGCATGTTTGATTTTGATTTAGATCAGTGTCAATGACGCCTACGTCTATCTCAACCTCTTCACTTTCCTATCATCACTCGTCGCCATCTTCGCCCTGGTCGTTCTCTTCCTCGCATCACGAGAGCATCTCAAGGCTTTCTCCATCACCATCAAATTTGTGATTGTCGGACTCGCCTTGTACTTCAGTAACATCCAGATTCTCCTCTTCGATGTGCTCACATTGACTGACGTCATCAAGTGCTCCAAGCCATTCGATTGGGAGACAAGAGGAAGTAGTAAGCTAGATTGGTTGCCATATATATTGTCTTGTAATGCCAATTATACTCACAGTCGCAAATCTTTAATCTTCCATTTCATCTTTTAATTAGATCTCATTATCTGATTACATCGGTTTATTCATGGCACCAAGGCTTTGTGAAACGTGTCCAAGATTTGATAAGATCTTGATAAAAATTATTATATCGATAGAAGTACCAATAGTTTCTATGGAAAAAAATGAATGGTTCTGAGAGGACTTTAATTGCTTTAGTGTTATAAGGTCACTAGTATTACAATTTGTTATGTGGTAGGGGAATGCTTACAGATAACTTAACTAATGAAGTAATTTTTGTCTGACTTGAACATATTTATTATAATTGTCCCTAATCAGGACTGCTGAAAATGATTTTTTTTTTTATTTAAAAAAAAAGGTAAAGATAATAAAAATGCAAAACATAACAAAGAGTTGTGAGTGGTTGGATCATCAGGAAGTAATTATAGATTAATTATATATAGATGATCTTTTACATATTATACTATGCAAAATATCACAAAATAGACAAGGCCGTTATACAATTTTATTACAACCACGAACATAATACCGGAGGGCGATATCACATATAACAGTTTTTGTGCATCAGGTCAAGTTTGCATATATACTTGAAGCTGGAAAGCAAAAACATTACACTCCTTCGTAATGTTAAATTTTCAACATTTACTACTTTGAGTAGACTTCAATTAATTATTACAAACAAATAAACCGTCTCCTTATTGTCTCCCCTTTACAATTGACAGGTTGGCAATGTCTCTGTCTGGTGGTCGAATCGGCACTCCTCTTCCCAATCACTCTACGATACTTCAGAACCAGGCATGGTAACATGGTGGGTGTGCTTCAAATACCTCGAATCGCTTTCACCAAATCTCCATCCGACCACTTCAACCCCTCTTTTAACTACAAAGGATTTTACGGGGGAACGCCCCCAAAGAACCCTCAACTTGAAAGAGTAAGGGCGGAAACCGAAGATAGTCTAACTAAACCCAGGAGCTCTTCCTCTATTAGCTTTAATTCTTACATCGCCATGTGAATCGATGATTAGTTTGTAACCAAGTATCTATCATCATTATCATTATCATTAAAAAAAAAAAGATTTTCATACTGAAATAAAATAAGCGCACAGTAATCAATGCCTATGTATTGTATATGATATGGTAGAGTCAAGATTTGATAAAATTGTACTATTCATGATTGCTTTTAACTAACAATAAGACAGAACTCTCTCTTAATTCAAGTTTTATACGATCCTCAGAACTTTTTTTTATAGTAATTATTTATTTGTATAATTTCTTAAAAGATTTGGTTGTCGTGTGTTCAACCACCCACGTTCAATTAGACCAAGTTTGAGTATAATCCACCTTCACTTTCTATTTCACTTTTGGTTCAGTCGCCGGTTATTCATATACAACTGTCTGTCTATATGAATTTATCTGTTCATGATTACTTTCAATAATTGTAGCATTGGATTTGATTTAAGTTGATGTATGGTGTCAATTTCTGTACCGAGCATACTGGTGCAAGTATTCTGTGTAACAAACAAAAATGGCATAATGCTTTAGAACATAAAAACTAATTTAAAATGTCATTATTGTGGGACAATAAGAGTAAGCAAGACTATTGTCTTGATGTGCTTTATCAGGTCATCATACGAAAAAGAAATAGGAAGAACGACTTTTAAATTGTAATAAATAAGTGAAGGGAAGAAAGAAGCATTATTACATTTTTTAATGGTTGAAGAATTGCTTTATTGTACACATAATTATCATGCAGCTACTCGCACCTGCATATATTATTGTAATAGTGGATGAATTTAAATGTTTGCCAATAAGTAAACACAATTTTTTTCTCCTTATTTTGCGCCAGATCGTTGACAGTTACATTACAATAGATGTATTTGAAATTATATAATAGTACTTTTAAACTTCGAGATGTAGTATGTTATTTTGGCAAGATAAAATATGAAAAGTATGACGTGAATCACAAGGAATGTGTACATTTAGAAAAAAAACTGATCTAGTATGATATACGCATAACATCATTGCTGTAATGGTCTCTATGTCTGGTTGAAAGGCCATTATTAACAGTTTCTGAAATATTATTGTTCCATGCTACGAAGAGTAAACAGTTCTCTTCATTTAAAGAAGCCTTGTTAGCTTGCTTTGTATATGATGATGAATGTACATTTTTATTTAGTTGAACTAATGATGATGAATCAGAACATGACGCATTCTGTAAAAAGATTATGCATGTTTTCAATGTTCTCAATTTTTTGCATTTTTAAATAAATAACTACGATCAAAGGCACCAACAACTGCATTCTTTGTACGAGTTATGTGATATTAGTATTAGTCATTCAATTAAGGACAGATGAACATGTTATCTATGTTAGTGTGTGTGAGGGGGGGGGGCATTCCTACAAATGGCGCTTATACAAATTCTCATGTAAAAATGGATACCACCCTTGATTAGTGCATTAAAATTTTCTTTTACTTTATTAGCATTGTTCCAAGCTACGAAAAGAATAAATTGTTCTCTTCAAGACTATAGTTATTTGAATACAAACTCGTCAGATATTTTGACACGATTCGCTACGGAATAAAAATGAGAATTGTTCACCCGACAGCCACTCTTATCCACTTTATGCCTATTTCCATATATGTAATGAGAGGGGTGATGATAAGAGATACGGTGGTTATTTGTTTTGCACTCGAATGTATCCCATTGCACCATCAAGTGCCCAATTTATAGTATTCGTATTTTATAAAGATATAAGATCTTTCTTGGCATGCTTATGTAATTAGTGCAAAAACCCTCTTACTCATGGTTTTTCATTATAATTAAAGCTATTAACTGCTGATTGTGTATAATTGAGATATATATATATATATATATATATATATATATATATATACAGACATACATATATAGAGAGAGAGAGAGACAGAGAGAGACAGAGACAGAGAGAGACAAAGAGAGAGAGACAGACAGACATACCGACAGAGACAGACAAAGAGAGAAAGACACAGAGAGATCGGATGTACAAATACAATATTTAAAAAAAACAAAAATAATAAAAGCAATCCTAATTACTTTAATAATCAGACCGAATCTTTCAGTAAAATATGTTTAAATAAAACAAAATATTCCTTTTATTGAATGACAAATCTATTAATCCTAAATGTTCAAACAATAATTAACTGTTTACCTAAGCATTTTGTTTTAAACAATATAACAATTTCCACGCCTAAATCACAAACACTTCAATCTTCAAGCACTAACGAGGAAGTTAATTAAACTAATCATCACATTAATTCCAAAGTTCATACTTTATCACTTGCAAATTTTCCCGATTTTTTCAGTCGACCATCTTTATCTTATGATCACCCTTGAACGTTAATCTTTGATTTTTCGTTATCAAAACAAGGAAGGACAATACGTGACAACTTACATAAAACCAAAAGAGGAGGTAATTCAAAATCCACCTTGATGCACGGCAACCACTGTATTTGACGTAAACATCGATGTGAGCTGTGAATAATAAAAATCAGAGATGTTTATGCAACGCATCCACATCCTGTTTAAAATCAGTTTTGAAGTTTGAGCAGCCCCTGAGAGTAAACTTTGAGGACAACATCAGGATCAAGGTTCTGGTTTAATTTCAGGAATTCTATACTTGATAATAATCAGCATGGTTGTATTCTATTGATTGTAATTATCACTGGCTCAACCATTGTGTGGAATAGAATAGGACGGTAATAATTGATCATCAATTTGAATATTTGTGAAGAAAGATGGCTTCGGTAGATTGTTTAGAGAATTCAAGTGGATTACCAAGCACGGAGGATTATCTCAAAGGTAGGAATACTCCGCAAAAGGATAGTAATTATTCATTACAAGGTGAACCAAATACCGCGTCTTTGTAATTAATTAGACACAAGAGGATGAATTATCGTGATTATGTTGTTACGACGTAAACTCATCAGACACGGCTTAACTTGAAATATCTAGTAGTCTTTAGAGTATAATAATGTTGTGAAAAGAAAGTGGTTTGGATATGATTTCATTTTGTGTAATCATTATTTACATTTTGTTCGATGTTTTAGTGTATATACAATAAAGAACAATACAATGAAGTTTCGAAATTGCTGATAATGAAAGAAAGATGTATTTTTCATAGTAAATGGAAAATTGCTCCTATATATGTTTTGGAGTCAACTTCAAATATTGAAAATTATTAAGAAGTTTAGTGTATACTTTAAGTCTATACTCATGCGAACGAAGTGTGCATGAAGAAAAGAAAAAAATATGAAAATATATATTTTTAAAAGGGGGAGAAAGAAAGGGATGAGAGCTCAGTTACGTTAAACAAAATAATGGAATCCCTCACTCGATGATTTTCTCATGCATTTCATTCACACTGATTCATTAACTAAGGTAAGAGGGGTGCCCCCCCCCCCAGTGGCAGAAACCACGCTCTTCCACTAAGTGACATGACACTTTTGCCCAAAAAGTTGACATATTTTTTTTCTTACCTCTTCTCAAGAAATTATTGTGACAGTATGGTTTCTGCTTAGTAGATAAAAGTCAATATCTTCTCATAATGTCATTGATCAAACTGTACACTGCAAATTTGTTGTGTAACGACTTTACACAACGTTGTGTAAAATAAGTTACACAGCTTTACACTGCAAATTCGTTGTGTGAAGTTGTGTAATTTCATTTACACAACTTAATACAACCCCTGTGTAAGGAGTGAATCACCCAATGTTGTGTAAAGTTGTTATTTAACAATGCAAAACGAATTTGCATGCTTTACATTGATAAATAAACACTGATTAGTCACGATTAGATATAACCTTTATCTCTCAAAAATAAATCATATTGTAACAATGTCAATGACTTCATGAAAATAGGTAACAAACATATTCTAACTTTATGTGCCTCAGTGTAGTAGTGAAAGTGTCATTAGTTAAGTCGTGTGGGTAGTTAGCTTAATTGAGTGGCGTACACTTCCAAATTCTTTAGTACGTCAATTTGGGAGCTGGCTAAGTTTCACGTCTCTTGTGTTATTATTCAGGCGATTCTGAAACTAGGATGACCTTCTTCACCATCACCGATACACATTATTAACAAAACTAATGCAATGTATTACAAACAGGGAGCTAGCTAGGCGCCAAAGATCCGGGGTCATCTGTTTAATTAGATGGGTGAAAGCAAATAAATGAGACCATCGATTGGGAAAAGGTTTTAAGGACTGATATTATTCCTTTTTACGTTGATTTTCCCATTCCCCCCACCCCCCCCCCCCACCCTCTCTCAAAGCAGATGGAGTCCGAGACTCGTTGCCTGGGTAACACCCTACATACGTATTAGAAAGGAAATTTGCAAACATTACTGGTAAACGCATCACGATATCGAATGAATAGAAATACCTATTAGAAAACAATAACAGTTGTCACGCTTTCTCTGGGAAACTGGAATGCAATTCATTATTTCAGGAGCTGCAATAAATCAATGTCGGAGTACCCATTATTTTGCTTATTCACATACATCTTGATGCTATTTTGTTTTATAAAATATTACATCAGCATGAATAACTCACCCCTTTGCCTTTTATAAAACCCATTAATGCATTGAAATAAATCGAAAGTGGTAAAAATTGTGCCTATTCACATGATCGTTTCTTTCCTTTCATGGAACTGTTCAATAATGTTGACGTATATTACATACTTCATCACCTTGAATTAAAAGTTAGATCTTTCCCACCGCTCCCAATTAAATATCCTGTCTCCCTACTGAATGCGGCTATAATTATATTGAGTGATTAGAGATGTCAGGTACACAATTAAATGAATGGATGAAAGGATTTGAGCGAGCTATGGTCGATTGGATTTAATTGAAAAAGCGTGACAATACTGTCACTAATAATGAGTGTCTTTCGGCAAATTTCACACGATAAAAAAACGAACCATATCAATTTAATTGCATCGCTAGCATTTTTAAATGATGTACAAAACAAGTCATACTCTCGCTTTTTTCGATAGTTCGAAGTCCTTTCTTGACAACGACCATCATTATTACCAACTTACATTAATTATCATTATCAACACAATGCCTCACCATATCGTCATCACCACCACCACCATCTTGATTAGCATCACCAATATTACCACTATCATCATTATCAGCTTCATCATCATGATCAACATTATTACCATTATCATCATCATCACAACCATACATTGCGAAATCAATGTTTTCATCTTCGTTATCTCTCTCATTAATTAAAACACGCGGCATCAGCGAAAGGATTCGCGCGGTTTAAATCTCTTCCGTAGACTTGTGTGCTATAAAACAATGTTTGAAATATCTTTTTAAAGGATTTTCTCTCTATACTTTTGTACAGTTTTGAGCTACAATTTTTTTTCTTCTTGTCAATTCCAGACATTTTTGTTGGCCCATTAGTTCTGTGCTCAAAATTAAGTTGAAATTCGTTTTTAATCTATGGGCCCGTCAACATTATTGATGCAAACAGATTCAAAGCCCATGTTTAGTTTTTATCCCTTTTCTTTCTTCTATGGACTATAACTTCTTCACTACAACCCCTTTCCTTCTCTATCTATATTTTATTCTGTCATTCCCTATGTAGGCCTATTCATCAATTTGGATTATTTCATCTTTTCTTTCTATATTTCCTAATGTTATTCTTTGTTTTTAAATATCTTTTAAAATTTCTTATATACCTTTCCTTATGTAACTCTTTGTTTCTATATAGGAAATGTTAGAATAAAAGATTTTAAAAAGGAGTAATGTGTGTCATAAGAAAATAAAGAAACAGACGATAAAGAAGGATCTAAACAAACGAATAACATGAGGAAAAATAGGAAGAGAAGACAAAAGAAGAGAATGAAGAATTACAAAGGAAATGATATAGAAGGAAAGATTTAGCCTGAAGGAGAAAACAAAGGAAAATAAAGAACGAAAGAGAAGATGGTAGAAAGTACAAATAACTATAATCACTATTCTCTATACACATACCAATAAATTATGAATTAACATTAGACAACTTTGGATTGCCACCATGACCGTCTTCAAAGATCTCATAAACAAGTTATGTTTTGATAGTAGTTTTTACTGGTATTAATACTTTCTGCTCCCTAATTCCTGCAGCGTAATAAGGGGTATAAGCTTCAATAGCGATTATTTTTCTTCTCATAATAAGCATACTTGGCTAATTTTCTCTTTTTGCATACCTTAAACTCTCAATTTATGTATCCATAAGACTGTGTCTCTCATCCTGAAATTTACTGCTATGTCATAATATATTGCTTTTGGTGATAATCATGTAAAAATAATTGTAAAGATCAACTCTTTATTAACTGGCTTAATCTCCGCCGCAATCTCCACGCATTCTATATCTTTAGCTGGTGGTCTTATCTTGAGTATTTTACCTTTTCAGGGATCATAGAAAGGCCTGCCAACTTGACTTTGCTTATCGCCTGCACATTGGTGACGATACTACTTGTAGCTTGCCTCATTGAGTCAGCATGCTTCTTAGACAGGAATGTACGCCCTTCAACCGTCTCCAACCATCGCGTCACAACATGGTGGATGATTGCTGTATTACCAGTAAGTCAATTTCCCGGCTCCATCTCAAACATCATTTTTTTTTTGGGGGGGGGGGATTAATGTGCACAGCCCTGAAGTCTACGAACACCAGTAAGTCAATATCCTCCATCTCAAACATCATTTATTTTTTTTGGGGAAAAATTTAATGTGCACAGCCCTGATTTCTACGAACACCAGTAAGTCAATATCCTCCATCTCAAACATCGTTTGGTTTGTTGAAAAAGTAATTATACGATCACATCATCTGAACGCAATCATGGAAGATTCATAGTCGAGAACGTTGTAAATATAATGGGTGTTCATTTCTTTGTTTTTCTTCGTTTTTTGTTTGCTTGTTGGTTTATTAATTTATCTAAACCAATTTTTGTTTAAAGGCGTATTGATAATGTTCTATTTTCATATACCTCTGAATCAGTTTAGATAGAGGATGCTGAATTGCTAAGTTTGGCCAAAATTCCAACAAGCATAAACTTTGATATATCAAAGCTTCATTGTACTAAAAATAAAGAAACAAGAGAGAGCTTCTCTGATTAATTGTGTGCCAGTGTTTTCAAGAGATAAGGATATTCTAAAGTTTAATACATCCTCATCTGCCCACACGCTTGGCAATAAACATAATGATTTTTTTTACATTTTCTTACATTTAGTCTTATATATTTAGTACAATTAAAGCAGTCACGTAATCTACGAATGTTAGGAACTAAAACCTATACTGACTTATACTCCACTATCTCACCATTCTAAATATCTCTATCTCCATGTGAAGATGTTACTTGCATTTTTTTGTTTGTTAATGAGATAATATAAATACTGTCTTTCAGGTGATGAGTTGTGTGGTGTTGCCAGGAGTCTACTCGCCTGTATCCGCTGCATTTTGTAATTTGGTAGCATCTCTGTAAGTATTTAAATTCACATTTGTTGTCTTACTTTAGTTTGCATCTAGTTCAAGGATGCAGAAAGGTTGATTAAATGCAGTCAATGTCTTATTACGAAAAAAAAGACATGTTTGCGATATGATCCAATAAGAGGGGGACATGTAAAGTTATTTTCTTACAATTATTTCTCCATTTTATATTTTCGAAATTTGCTGACAACTTAGCCTAAACATCTTTCCTCGATCATGATTTAACTGTTAATGCTTATCATGATTGATTGGTCTTCGTTTCAGATGAAATTTAAATGCTTTTCTTAAAATTTGCTTTACACTTGGCTTTAAAATAAAAGGAAACGCTATAATTGGTACACATTGACAGTTTTATGAAATTATATTTCATATAACTTCATTAGTAAACGTAGTCCAGAAAATATAAATGAATATGTGTCGCAAGCCATTAACAAATCCAATGTGCTTCAATCATTTTCCCTAAAACTCTGTTGAAAATTCTTTGCGGGTGAAATCAATATTCTGAATAACTTTACCATGATTGATTTTGCTATCCTCAATTCATGGTGTGATTAATCTTTATCTAACCATAAATTTGGTCCGTAAGGAATAATAATTATAATAATTTAAATAACGGGGCTTGTATAGTGCTCATATCTGTCATACTTGACACTCCTGGCGCTCCGCAATTAGGCAGTAAGTTATGCAATTAGGCAGAAGTAAACTCTTTGGAAATATTCTTCTTCTTTTTTTTTGGGGGGGGGGGAGGAGGGCAGGTCAAATTGTTATTGTGGCGATAATAAACATAATATTTTAGTGGTAAGAAAACAATTCTATTCTTCTGGTTTTGTGATTATTTTTTTTCCTTCCAGATGTTATTCCTTCACCATGTTTAAGTTCCTGGTCATTGTAATGAACTACTATGGAGGTTATGAGAAAATGATGTATCATTTTTCAGCCGAGCATTTCACCTTTCCTCTGGCAAGCACACCCCTAACATGCTGCTGCCCTTGTTTACCAGAGAAGAGACTAACAAGGTAATTCACCTTGATCCACCCAGGGACTTGATAGTCTTCCAAGTCCCTGATCCACCTCAGGATAAAATCATATCACGTAACCTTTAATGCTGATAAATTTTGATCAGCCTGGAGATTGACGATTCTTTGAATTTGCAAATGAAGTATAGCTGAATACCTGCCTTGAAGGCAACAGTGATTAGATTAACTTCTTTTTAGCTCCTGTTAAACATAAAGCATGTAATGCCAATTTACGTTACTGAACTAGATAATTCAAAATATAAAATGATCATCTTTATATATTTTTTTTAATGGACAGGGCAATATTTGTCCTATTCAAGGAAAATGTATTGTCTTTGTTTTGCATCAGCGTCAAATTTATATAAAGGCTGATCTATTCGTTGATTATCAAAGAAATTTACAGCAAACGTTCATAAAAAAGATAATGTCCCAAATAAACTTTATCCATTTTCTATCACTCAAGAAGGTTATTTTAAACAAGGGATGAGAATGGAGTCAAGATTGTAATCATCATAACGAAGAGAATATCATACATTTTGCTTGTAATAAGAATTTCCTTGAGTTTGGTTTGATATTGACACTTTTTGCAGCTGCCTATTAGTCAATGTAAATAAATGAGCAATTGTTTTTTGAAAGAGATAACACACAATAATGGCTTTTGACCCACATTCATTTCTTCAGCCCAAACTTTATATGCGAGAGGTTTTTGACAATATTTTTTAAAAGCCTGCTGTTCAGTCATCCTTGCCAGTACAATTATGAAACTAGTATCATTAGACTGGGTATTAATTCTTCTTTATAATGAAATATGATTGAAGATCACATAGACTTTAGAGTATACATTTTTAATTAAAAGCTACCAAGTTTGGTACACTTTTTTTGTATACGCACTGTGCAGTCCCATATCCGTGTGCAGTAATTCTCACTGCAAGGTGATTTACTGAAGACAGCGTACTTTTTTTGGTTATAATTTTGATGTTTTCAAAAGTTAGCAATGCATAACTATTCTTAAGTTTGTTGCACGGCGTAAAATAACCTTTCCCGATAACTTTGGGGCAGTTTCTTTCATAAAGCAATCATTGACCTGTATTCAACTATATATTTTAAATTGAGGCGAAGATATGAAAACATGTTCTCCATCAAACTTTCAAAACAAATCGAGACAAAATGCGAGATACTTTTAATCGTTCTGGTATAATTATTTCTACCGCGATGAAATGATTTATGAATCGTTTTGGTTCTGATATAATGTGAATTAAAACTTCTCTATTACTCATTGAAACACAGGCACAGTTTTAAATGGTTGAAGATCGCCGTCTTACAAGTGGCCATAGTCAAACCTGTCACAACATTCATTGGAGTACTATTTTGGTTAGATGCTGTATACTTGACTGATCAGGTAAAGGTGTTCATTCATTTCATATTCTGTGTCCTACTGTTATATCATGTAAACGGATAGAGATAATTAGATTTAACCACTCAATTACGTAAATAGATTAATAACTTACAATGTTTACATTTCTTGATAAAGTTAATAGAGTTGATAACAAATAATGAGGACAATTAGTGATCTCATAGGTCAGAAGTCATTATCCGCCTTGAATCGGTATCGAGTCACTATTCCACCCCAATTTTATTTGTACAGGCCTTTCTTTTCCTAATTCTAGAGTAAGATGGTTGATATCGCTCAGGTATTTACACCCCTATACAACCTGACCGTAACAGGATGCATAAAGAAATTGCAATTTGGAAATCTAAAAATATAAATTAATGTTGGGATTTAGGGTGCATTTCAAGCCCTTCAATCACAGATCGGGGCGATTCAGCTTCAAGTCGGTTGGGAGTCCGTGACGGGCATGACGGTTGTGACGTCTTAAGAATCGCGGCTAATTTTCGGTAAAAAAAAATCACATATTTAAACATTCGGGTTTCCAGTCAGGAAGAATTTACAAATGTAATGCTTAAATCTAATGAAAATTAAATTGCCTAAGAAATCCAGTCAGAGTCAAGTTAGTATACGGTAGGCTGTATTCATTCTCAACATAATTCTTACAGGAGAGGATATGCAATTAAGACATAAATTCAAACGAAAAGTTGTTCGATGTTCTTTATTTTTAGGTTGAAGCAGATAGGCCCTTCCTGATTGTGAATATTACGACCATCTTTTCTTCAGTGATAGCGATGATGGCTCTGAACATGATTTATGTAGCTTCTACCAGGTTTCTTGAACCTTTCTATGTTCGAACTAAGTTTACCTTTATCAAGCTTGGTATTGTGATCTGTAACATCCAACCAGCAATACTCAGTCTACTCATGAGATTCCGATTCCTAGGCTGTCGTTTTCCTTTCTCTAACCATGCAAGATCCAACTGTGAGTATTATACTTTCTCCGTATCTGTTGCCCCTCTCTCTCTCTCTCTCTCTCTCTCCCCTCCCTGTCTCTATAAGTATTGCCTCCCTTCGTGTCTCTCTCTTTACCGTGTCTCCGTTCTCTTTCGCTCTTTCCTTCTCTCTTTCTCATTTACTATCTCTTTCATATTTTCCCTCCATTTTTGTTTGTTTTACTCCACGTCACTTTATAATGTTTATGAATCGCTAGAATTAAAATCGAAAACTCATTATCGTTCGAATATGAGGCGCAGAGATGTCGTTATGTTCTAATTTTATATACAATATTACAATATATCTGAATTCAATGGCAGCTCTAAATACAAACTATCATTTTTATCCCTTTTTCAAATATTTAAATTCTAAACACTTAAATTGTTAAGTCAGAATATGGTGCGCTTAGAGACACCAGTATTAAGCGCCTTATAAATATTGTTTATTATTATTAAACACTCCATTTTCACTCTAGATCGAGACAACCTGCAATATCGTATGATATTACATTCACTTTATGATAATGAAAACATTTAAAAGCATATACTATATTATACTTTCAAAGTTATTTATGATAAAAACACAAACTGATCTGAATTTTTCCTACAACGATGATTTTTCTGCAGGTTTCATGCTCAATAAATCTGATCTAAATCGCAGTTAAACAGACAAACCTACATGGGAATTGAAGTTATTATTTTGTTTTAGAAAGTATTTTATTTTTCATTCAATGAACACAATGTAACATATAGGCCTAATTGAGAAGAAGAAGAAAAAAATATTTTGTTACATGTAATATCATTGATTTTGATATCATAATAATTACAAACAATACATTAAAATAGCAAGAACAACATTTATATTACAAGTCATAACACTGGATGACGATGAAAATAAAATGTTCTCCCTGACCCCCCCCCCCCCCCACCGTTCACCCTGCCCAAGAAACCTAGTCTCCTTCCCCATCTCCCTTCCTACCACGCCCTCCTCTACCCCTCCTCCCTCCTAAACTACCTGATTTACTGCAAACACAAACTTTAAGCTTTTGACATTTAGAGACAGTGATATTGAATCATTTATCGATTTATTATTTTGTTCTTTGTTTTTCCGTACAGTCATACAGTGTATTGTATTCATCTTGGAAGCCGGAATCCTGTTTCCTTTTATCAGGTACTACTATCGACGAAGCGAAGGTAACGTGGTGGGGAATGTATCCATGATACCAACCGAACTCTTCGGTTCCATCCAGCCTCCTAGTATTACATATCGACTACCTGATCGTAGACATTACATGCCACGCCCGTCGATCACGAGCATTGAGAACGGTCGTGTACGTGCTCATACCGTCATTGGTTCGGGGGATGTAAACACTGATTTCTACCCGGCTGAGGACTTAGCTACTATTGCTGAGGAGTGCGAGGAGGAGGAGAAGACTAAGGTCGTAGAACCTTCGACAGACTTCACGAAACAATTTATGACTAGTAACAGACAGGGGCGGCGTCATAGTATCGGCTAATTCTACTGAACAGCATTTTACACCGTAAAGTGACACCGGTATTTTGAAAGTTACATTTCGAGGAGGAAGACTGAAAATATATCACTGCATTAGAAGCAGCCTACCACCTTGTATTGTGTGACAATCAAAAAGTTTGTTTGTAGATGATGGTCAGTTCTATTTTATAGAACTTATTATAGAACATATTGAACTATAATTATATAGACATAATCTTGAGGATCGTTTTCACCTTCCGATGCCTCAAATGCCCCCTTCTCCTCTTTTGTAACTTCCGTGATTCTAGGCCGAACAATTTTTTTGTTTCTCGCATGCTAGAAAATGTTCTTCTTCACTAGAGAGATATTTTTACCAAAAACAATAGATGTGCCGCCCCCCCCCCTTTCGCAAAGCCACAGCTACTTTAAGGTATTGTAAGAACGGGCTTGAATTCCTCCCAATAAAAAAAATATAAAAAACTATGGTCGTACAAAGGTCCTATTTTTTAAAGGGCATTTTACACAGTATGTTCAGACTGTGTTTTGGGGTCTTACATAATTTATGGAAACTATACATTTAAAACTTATATGGGATATTGGATTAATCTTGGGCTCTTTTGTGTATTATATATATATATATGAACAACAACAGCCTCGAGCACCGTAACTCTACAAATTTGAGGCTTCACAAGTTACAGTGTTGATGCACAATTACACTGCGTCAGGTGCGTACGCAGGGGGGGGGGGGGGTTGGGGGGTTAACCCCCCCCCTTTGGTAATTTCATGTATGTAAACCCCCCCTAAAAAACCTAAACCCCCCTTTTGATTTTTTTATTTAAAAAAAAAAAAAAAAAAAAATTATGCCCACGGCCGACCTAAAAAAGGTGACCTTACCCCCCCCCCCCAACTGAGCAAAATGTCAAATTTCCAAATTTCGAGACCAAAAAAAAAAAAAAAAAGTGTCCTCTTACCCCCCCCCCCCCCCCCCCCCCCCCCCCCCCGCTTATTCAGCGGTCAGCTGAGTCGTTGCGATTTTTTTTTTAGGTCCGATTTATGACGATAACATATCTTGAAGTTCATATCCCCGTTTTCAGGATTGTCCATTGAGAAATCTAAACAGGCGAAGGAGGAGACAATATTTCAGTGTACATCACAGCGTCCCAATAAGCCATTTTCGTATTGTAACCAAGTTTAATGCATCCGTCTTTGACTTTATTAAGTGGCTGGATACGAATTATTCAATTTCGAATAAGTGTATCTCAATAATGGCTTGCCCTATATATACCGATCAATACGTAAAATATGCAATTCGCGTTCTGACAATTAAAATACATTTATTCGTGACAGATGAAAGACGTATGCTTTCAATTTGGTTACAGTTCGAAAATGGCCCATTGTTCCGTGAACTGCGTGCAATGTCCGGAATGAACCAAGTGTCCGTGATTTCACCACTCTCGTTGCACACACTTTAAAAAAAAAACATTTTGTCGCTAGGTTTCTGTGATTTTGGTTGATGAAAAAACAAGATAACTTTCTGGATGTGATATGTTTTTTGTTTTTTTCTGTCGTTGTTGTTGTTGTACTTATGCGGAGATTAAGATTTGTATTTTTTTAAAGAAGAAGATGAGAGTTTAATTTTGTTAAAGGTTAATTTGATCATAATTACCTCATGCTTTCATTTTTTCTTTTAACTTCCGTCTTTCATTATTTTCTGTAAAGTTGTCTATCCGAAATTGCTTTGTATCTTTTTTGTTTTTTGTTACATCTCTACATTGGTTTTAAAATAGGCGTTCTATAGCAGCGATCGATTGTGAAGTCATCTGATAAACTTAGTGCCTATTATTCACGCATTTCTCGTGATTATGTCTTCGAAGCAAGGGAGTACCTCCTTGATTGAACCCAATATCATTTGCCTTTGCATGAAACAGAAGACATCGCCTCTCAAAATATCACGTAGGCGGACCTTCAACCATGTCTAATTCCTTTAGAGTGATGTGAACATTTACACTATCTTCTCTCGCGGTTGAATGGTAGACGAATCGGGTATAACTTTGGTTGGAAACAAATCTGTTTGAATATTCCAAGCAAAACCATATCATTCGGTGTGTCAACCTGAGCATCTTACATGGGTTTCAACGTACGTCACTCTGAAGCAAAACATCGTATTATGACAGACAAATTGCTATCTTCTTTCGGAGAAATGCAGGCTTGGTCTTGTCGTTCATTACTTTTCATAACGATTTCACCTTGAATAGTAAAAAGAGAAATTATTCCAGACAGCCGTTGATAAATGATCATTCTTTCCCTTGATACGAATATTCTGCAGCTGTGATTGTGAACCACTTGTCTTTATAGGCAGCTGATATTAGTATTTTAGTATTTTATTCTGAAGAATTTAATTTGTGAATAGCAAGTCTAATATTTAAAGAAAAAAATTAAGACGTTCATGAACGAAACATTAGCCCTTGGATTTCTACTTCAATACTGCCATTCCAAATGCTTGCATTGAAACATAGGTTGTGCTATAATTATGTAGATGGAACTTTTCGACAAAGATTCTTAGTATTGTAAAGCTTAGACAGTCTGAATGTGAAAGGCCACATTATTTTCTACACGTTTGTCTATTTCAAAGATAAATGTTGACTCTCGCCAAGCCCTTTATTTATTTTGTTCATCATATTTTAATGTTTATACAAACTCTTCATCTTTTCTATATCAAAGTAAAACGAGATATAACATTGTTGCACTTTAAGCTGCTTAGGAATGCTATATGATGAAAAGTATCAGTTAATAGTGTCGGCATTGCTGTATACATGTAAATGTATAAAGATTAACTTGTCATTTTTAAATGTAAAACATTCTTTTATTAAATAAATGAGTAAAACTTGCTAAGAAATATTTTCCTTCATGAAAAAAAAAGTTTATAGAAAAGTAATTGTTGTTTTGATTTATATATATGTATGCATATTTATATGTATTGCACATCATTCAGCAGCAGTTGTTTGTCACATATTTTGTTTCTATTAAAAGATCATAAATCAGCCCAAAATCATTGTCTGTGTTAATGACAATAATAATGATGTGTAGTTTGCTATATTTAAAGGGTAACTCAAAAATAACAAGTTGAATTAGCCATGAAAAAAAAAATTAAGGACGGCTTACAATTTTTCTACATAGGTTATATATATACATATCGAAACCAATAGCGTATCTGTAACATAGGACAAAGCTCATAACTATACACACCTCGCCTTCAATCAATAAAACTTGAAGAGGGTCTACTCTAACGACACGCTAAGCGTACTAATTTCACCGTCGCCCCCTCCCCTGTTTACCAATTTCTAATATTACCGATATGGCTGACAGTGTCGTCTTTTATTTTTTTAAATGTAAGATGGGATTCTGCGGCGGGGGGGGGGGGGGAGGGGGTCACCTCAATAGTTTGGATTTGGTTAGGACTTAGGAGTACTGATGAACTAGATCTCAAATTAATCCAGGCAGATTATAACCGATTTAACTGAATTTAAAACATATGTGAGTATTCACTAAGTGTCGGGGGAGGGGCACTGTGACCATTTTTTGTAATCACAGAATCTTCGGACGGGTGCCCCTGTCAGAAAGTCCTGGGTCCGCCATCGTCTGCAGAAAATATTGATAAGTCAAAACTTTACATGAAGAAGAAATGAATAATGATGGGGGAGGGGCTCATGAGCCTAGTGACATCAAAAGCGCAAGTTGTTTTTCTGTTTTATTGCTGATGTTTAGCTATTCAAGTTCATTCAAGTTCATTTTATTTAAAACCACACAAAACATAATATAATCTTTTACATAATAAAGAGACTCGTAATAATTAACTTGATAACATCATAAAATGAATGGTTTTAGGACACCTTTAGAAGCTATAAGCTTGTGATCGGTGCCCTATATTCATCAAAATGCATACATTAACAATATGGCAAAGTGAATAAACCGATTAAGTAGACCTATATACAACGGATGGATATACTAAGCTACAGAACATAGAACACGCAAATACTCACACACACGCGCGCACACACACACAAACGCGCACACACACGCACACAGCAAACACATCGATGAGTAGCATAAAGTACAAGATAGTATGAAAGTTTATTGTAAACTTATAAAGATAAGATTCAATGAAAATCCATTGCTTTTTTCACTGTTTTTCAATTTCATTTATAAAGCGAATGGATACCCCTATTTCTGTCGTCCATTAATGCATTTATGTTGATCAACCCTCTCCTTAATCTCTTGTCAGCAAGGTCATATTTCATAATTTCATTGATAGTAATTATAATAAAGCCTTTTATTCACATGGAACATAACGTTTTGAGTGAGGAGATCGAGCTACCCATTTCTCACAACACTGTCAACATAACCGAAAATAAATATTTGAAGTTTATATCAATCATTCTAGTCGAGACAATTTGTCATCTGCGCTATAAACGTCTTTAACCAAGTTTATCTTTATACTGTCAGGAGAAGTGAGAGTCATTAATACCAGGAATGAAATGGTTTTAAATCAAATTAGTCTTGCCTTGTGAATGAGAGTAGCCAAATACATCCATACATTTTTACGACCTTTGAAGTAGGTTGGAAATTCTTTGCGCGCCAACTGCGCCTTTGATGAATGTCATTAACCAAATCATTTCTTATAACCCTGTTTAATCATCTATTTTATTACTATGCGACCGTATCTCCTTGTAATTGTAATACTTTTATAACTGTTTACAACCGTATTTGATGCGTTGACAAAGAGGTTCCCCCATAAAGGAAGTCGAGGTAAGTCAGTGGCTTGACAACCAACAAGACTTGTCAACAAATCATTTAACTTTGGATAACTCTACAAATCGAAGGTCCTCGAGACTGGTTTTGTCATTATGCCGGGATCATTATATTAATGTTTGAATGATGATCTTTTTGAAAATGTCACGCCACCCCCCCCCCCCCCCAAAAAAAAAAAAAAAAAATATGTATCACATTATGCTAGATAATACTATACTTGAAGCTAAATGTCATCAATTCTTTTCGAGGTCAGTGATTTTTTTTATTCAGAAATTGTCATATCTGTAGGCTATCTTACTTCGTGAAAACATAAAGCTTCCGATCATTTCCTCCACATGAAATTTAAGCGACTATTCTTAAACGGACAGAAAATAAGTTTTGAAATGGAATGTTACTCGATGTACGTATACCGTTCTTTCATTGTGATATAACGAAAACATCACTTAAGAGTTATGCAAAAATCTTTGTGATTGACGATTGACGATTGACGATTAATTCACTTAACCA